GACACCCCGAATCCCTCCCCGGCCCCAGGGCAGGCAGCAGCTGGGCGGCTCGGAAGCTGGTTGGTTGCCACGTCTCGTTTCTCTCTCCCCTGCCAAGAGACGCTTCCCTACGAGGGAGGGCAGCTGCCCGGCTCACATGCCAGTGACGTCCCCGGGCGCAAGAATCCTGCTAAGCCCTGTTCGGCGGCTCCGGCGTCATGAAAGGAAGAACAAGGAGGGGGCGGGAAGGAAAGAAATTAACTTTCTGGGGATGGGAGGGGGCGGCGCAGGGCCCAAAGCTCAAGGTGAATAAAGAGCTGCTCCCTGCAGATAAGTGGAGGCCTCCTACACGCATACCCCAGCTGAGCCCTGCCATGGGAACGGGCGGGCGGGGTGGAGACAGGGCCCTGCCTTACCAGCAGCATACACAGCCTCTTACCGATGCTCTGCCCTTGGAAGGACCTCAAAGCCCTTGGCTGGCAGCACCTGGGTTTAGCTGCAGGAGCTGCCCCACCCCCACCCATGTGTGATGTCAGGAAACCGTCCCAGACCAGGGGAAACTGAGGCACAGAGAGGGCAAGCCACTTGGCCAATGTAAGCCATCAGCGAAGCTGGGAATGGAACCCAGGAGTCCTGACTCCCCGTCCCCTGCTCTAACCACTAGACCCCACTGCCGCCCCCTCCCCCAGGCCTACACACAGGTGCCTGAACAGACTGTGCCAATGGCTGGTCTGTGCCACCTCTGCAGAAGCTCATGAGCCTTGCAGCTGCCAAACTGGATCAGGGCTGGGGGCACAGGTCTGACTTCTAGGACCCTGCGTAACCTAGGGCTGGCCCCAGCTCGGGAAGTGGCGATGGCAAATTGAAAAAGTCCTCTCCAGGCAGATGTCTGGCTGGAGTCCACCTAGGAGCACCCCAAAGCTTGGCACCCGGACAGAGGGCTCTGCCCCCAGCTGGGAAAGGGCCCAGGGCGAGGGGTGGGAAGTATATTTTCAAGTCTGCCAGGAAGAGAAAGCAGGATTGTTTTGTGTTGACCCCACACCCTCCCCCCAGCTTCTATTTCTGCAGCGTGTCCCCAGCCTACAGCTTCCTCAGGGCCAGGCCAAAAATGCCAAACCAGAGGCCAAGTGCTTTCTTCCCCACCCCTCCCCAACCAGCCTCCCTGGCTCTGAATGGGGCCCTTTGTCTCGCCCTGGATTTAGACAGCAAGTGGAGAAGGGGGGGGGTGCGTGTGTGGCTGCATTGTAGCCGGAACAGAGGCAGAGCAGCAGGGGACAGACAGGAGAGATAGGAGGGAAAGAAGGAAGGGGGAGGAGATGGTGGCCCTCCTAATCTCATTCAGCGGAAGGGATAAAATCTTTCTGCACCAGGAATTGCTAGGGGTGGGTGGGTGCAGAGTCACCCCCATTCCAGGAGTCCTCCAAAACCCGCGCACACCCCAGACCAAGTTACCCATTGGTGTAATGCCACCAGTTCGAATGGAGTCACTCCGCTGGCACAGAACACAATTCAATGACCATATAGAAGATAAAAACGGCCCGACAATTCGGAGAAACGTTCAGCCAGCGGCCACAACCGGGGGCAGCGCGCGGTTCCCCCATTTTAAGCACCTGAGTAAGTGGGGCAAAAGTTTCCCAAAGGAATTAAGTGCCCCCAGTATGTGGAACAGTCCTGAATGTCACCAACTGTGCCAAAGAGTGTCGGAGACCTACAATGGGACACGCGCACGTACACGTTCCTCCAGAACCATGCCACCAAGCCTCAAGGTCACACCTATGAACACCAACTTATATAGTTCACAGCTGGCCTGATCAGCCTTAGGACCCCTCCCCCTTTCACACAGGTGTGCGCAGCCCCTGCCCCTAAAAGCTTACACAATCCTTAGCCAAGATTCTCACAAGTAACTAGCGATTTTTGGGGTGTCCTTCCGACTGGAGATACCTAGTGGCTAGGGCACAACAGTGGGACTCAGGAGACCTGGGTTCTGTTCCTCTGCCCCGGCCCTGCTGGGTAACCTTGGGCAAGACTCTGTGCCTCGGTTTCCCCCCCATCTGTGAAGGGTCGGGGGGAGATCATAAAACTGACATCCTTTGTCAGGCGCTCTGAGATCTATGGATGAAAACTGCCAGGAAGTATAATAGAGGGGCCCGATATGCCAAGGGTACTTTTTGAAGATCAGATCATGGCGGGCTCCCAAAATTCACCAGTGAAAATCTTGACTCTTGATTATAAGTCTCAGGTTTTAATTTGATTTGATTTTTAATGCCAGGACTCGTTTCCCCCTCCCCCTGAGTCCAATTCACCAAACAGGAAACAAAATTGACTGTCTCTTCTTAAAGCTGCCAAATTATGTCACTGGAAGAACCCAGTTTGAGTAACCAGCCAGCTACAGCCCCTGCCCATTGAATGGGGCAACGCAAGCCATGTGGTAACTCACTGCGCACACATACCCCCCTAGTAGGGTTGGAGGGGGAAGGTAAACACGCAGATAAGAAACAGGTAATAGGTTTGCAAATTCCCCAGGGCACCACTGAGCGCCTTAACTGCACTGATGAGATGCAAATTGGGAGCCAAGAGATTTTTTTTTTTTCCCCCCCCCAAGGAGAGAAACTTGCACATTAAATGCACAGCCCCCAGCTTGCCCATTGGAGGGGGAGAGCATTGATACCGGGTCCCTCCAACGGAGCGATTATGCATCACTCCAAATCAGTGTCTAGCCAGGAAAGCATAGACACAACAGTACATTTTAATATGCAAATCCTAAGCAGAGGACCTGAAGAGAATAGCACCGCAGAAGCAAAGCACTGGTGCGCACTGTAAGATTGTCAGGGCAGGGACCTTCCATTTCTATAGGGCCAGATCCTCACTGTTATTTTGGCCCCTAACTCCCACTGAAATCAAGAAATCAGGAACCTAAACACCTTTGAGCCCGTGGGCTATTGTGCGTAGCACACTGTGTAAACAGAGCACCCCTATCACACCTGTCAATCAACACCCTCGGTTGGTTTAATTATTCTGCTGTTAGCCTTCTGCAGTCCTTACAGAGGGGGGTCCTAGGCCAAGAGGCTTTTGGAACAAGATGGCAAAGGGCCATTCATTAAAATAAATAAATAGGCAAACAAACAGGCTCACTTCACTCTGCAGCATAGGGTGCAGTCTGAGCGCAGGCAGCGTTAACCCCAGCATTTCTAGCCAAGGGTTGCAACCAGAACCAGGCCCAATCGCTCTGCCTTCTTTCGGCGAAGGGTAAATCATGGCACTTGGGAACCCGGAATGAACACATGGCTTTTCACCCTCCCCCTCCGCTGCCCCCCCCACCCTTCCCCGCCAGTTGGCTGGAAGCCCCATCAGGACAGTTACAGAACAAAGAGGCAGACGGAACCGGATACGCAGAGGAAGTGAATCGGAGCAAGCAAATCCCAGCTAGAGACCCAGCCTCCTTCCTTCCCACCCCATCACCCACACTTCCTCTGTCGTCAGCAGGGGCCCCGCAGCCCACCAAGGACCTGGGGATGGGGGAAAGAGATGCACAAGTGTCCCCCCCCCCCCCCCCCCCCCCCCCCCCCCGCTCGGCACTGGCCTATCCCAGCTAAGATGAACAGCAGAACCAGCCTCCTGCCTCTGATGGCCTTTAACTTTCACTCGGCTGGACCTCCAGCCGCACACCACCAATGGGCTGCCAGGACCCAGCCCGCACTCTCAGCATCACGCAGGCCCAGTCGCCGTGGGCACATCACAGATTCCCTAACCACGAGGCCTGGGGCGAGCTGCAAAGCCACAGCTCAGCCAACAGGGACAAGCAAACCCAGCCACAGCGGGAGGCCTGCGCAAGGCCACAGGGCCATGTTGGGGGGGCAGTCACGGGGCAGGACTCACCACTGGGCTTGCACATCCTGATTTGGCTCTGGCACTGGACCACGGAGTGCAGGGGCGGCGAGGCCACGGCGGTCGCGGACGTCAGCTTCTCTGAGGTAGTTTTGCTGGCGGGGTCCGGGGAGGGCGGGGGCGAGGAGGGGGCGCACTGCGTCTGACACCGCAGCTGCGTCAGGGACTGAGGCATGCCCTGGTAGTGCCGCGTGGCGCTCAGGAGGTCATTGAGGATCTGAAGGATGGTGCCGATGTCACGCCGGGGCCGCCCGCTGCTGTCCTGGCAGTTGGGGTGCAAAGTGCCTGCAGGGGAGAAGAGGCGGGGGGGACACGTCATGCCATGCTGCCTGTAGGGGCAGTAGCTGAGCCCAACCCTTGGCACACTCTGTGCCACCCCTCAGGGGCTCCCCATAAGCATCTTTGTGACCCACCCATGGCCCCAGAACACAGTGCAGGGCCCTGGGGGGGGGGGGGGTTGTCGATGCACTGAATCTCCCAGGAAGGCTGGCAGCCAAAGCTGGCATGAGCCCCCATCCCAGGCAGGATGCTGAGGTAGGAAGAGACCCATCAAACTCAGCTCTCATTGGCCACCAAAAGTTGCCCTCACCATGCCAACCAACCTGGGCCCTGGTCCAGCCCTGGTTCTCCCCTCCCCATTGTTCTGCACAAGCAGCGTGAAAAGAGACAGTCTCCAATTCCCCAGCCACGCGCACCGGCGCTCGCCCATGGCATCACACCAGCACTGGTGAGAGGAGAGTCGGGCCCACAGTCCCCTGGGCTCTCAACATACCAGAGAAGGTCCCTGAGAAGACCCCAGGAGCGTGGTTAACGAAGCTCTCTATGACTGCGCCAGGTTTGCGGGATCGGCTTGTTGGGGCTGGGTTGCTGCCGGCAGAATTGTTACTCCGGGCGCTACAGTCCACCTGGCAAGCGGCAAGAAAGAGAGACACTTGTTAGCCATTAGAAACAGACACCAATGGGCCAGAAGGCTCCCGCTAACCCGCAGCCACAGAGGCAGACCCCTAGCTCGATGGGTGGCTGGGGGAAAAAGTCCCACATCCAAACTTTCCCAGGGTTACAATCTTATTTCCTCAGCCAGCATAAGGCGTGAGGTTTTTTCCCCTCAACCTTTTGGGACAAGGCAGTACCCACACCCAAGCAGGGCGATCCCATAATCATCATCGTCCCTAGCTCTTAAGTAGTGCTTTTCACCCACAGATCTCAAAGCACTTTACAAAGGAGGGCAGCGTCATTATCCCCATTTTACCGATGAGGAAACTGAGGCACAGGGCAGTGAAGCAACTTGTTCACCCAGCAGGCCAGAGCCAGGAACAGAACCCAGGTCTTCTGCATGCCGGTCCAGTGCTATGTAGGCCATGCAGTCACAGGGCACTTCCAAAAGCAACACCTGAAATCAGCCAGATTTCAAACCCGCCATCGGCCGAGCCCCGTTCACAGTGAAGAAAAGGATTTAGAGGGCATCTTCAGTGCTACCATCTGCCTTACATTTGGGTCTTGAGCCTCCAAGACCCATGAACCCATTCGGACCAAGGAACTCACTCTCTAGGAAGGGAGCATGGTCTAGTGGTTAGGGCACGAGACGACCTGGGCTCTACTCCCAGCTCTGCTGCGAAACCTTGAGTGATTCGCTTTCCCCTATCTGTGCCTCAGTTTACCCATCTGTGAAATGAGGATAATGTGCCTGCCTGCCTTTGGGAAGTACTTGGCAATGAAAGATGCCAGCCAAGGATTGTGATTAGTCTGATAAGCAATGATCCTATTTTGAGACCGGAGGGTTGCTGGATATTTCTTCCCATGGCAGGCTGGGGTTTTCCTTGGATTATAAGCATTTTGCAGTCAAAGCACAAGAGGCAGTACACAGACCAGCCTGGATAGCTTCTCTCTCAGAGGGAAACCCTCTCCCCCGCCACCCCCTGCCAAAATCTAGAGCAGATCTTTGCCTTACGCTTTGCAATAAAAAAAAATAAGAACACTATGCCCTTTTCTGGCACCATTTGCCTCAGGATCTCACAGCATTTGGAAAAAATGTAGCAAGGCCTCACAACACCCTCATTTTATAGATGGGGAAACTGAGGCATGAAGTGGGGCTGTAACCTGTCCGTGGAAGGAGTGGATATAGACAAGGCCTTGTTCTAACCATTAGAGAACAGTCACCTTCCAGAGCCAGGAATAGAACCCAGGAGTCCTGAGGCCCAGCTCCCCCCTTTTCTCTCCCCACCTGAGAGACTTATTTTTTAAAGCCAGACTCACCTCTGAGCAGGAGGAGACGACGCTGCTGTTAACCGTTTGCGTGCTGGCCCCATGCGACCGGAACATCCCGGCTGTGACGGGGGCGGGGTGGGCGGCGTTACAGTACATGGGTGTGGCCTGTGCCGAGGGGGCGGGGCTGGGGGCGGGGCTCTGCTGGCAGGTGGGCACCACGGGGATGCGGGCGAAGTTGGAGCTGGTCCCTCCGTGCAGCGTCCTGCACTGGGGGGTGGGGCCGGCCGCTGCCCCAGGCTCCCCCCGGCTGGCGATGACATGCCGATGCTGGAGCTGCCCCCCACTCTGTTGAGCTGCCAGCTGGAGCTGCACGAACATCATGTGGTCGCCGACCCGCAGGGCCAGCGTCAGCGGGGACCTTCCTGACAGGAAGTCATTGACCTGAGAAGAGAAGAGGAGTTCGGGTCACCGTCTCGATCATGGCGCAGCAGCTGCAGCAGATCTTGGGTGAGGTGGGGGCACCAGCAAAGTCCGGCCCACGGCAAAGGGGAAGCAGAACCGTTCCCGGTGCCACCGGTTCCGAGATACGGGGGCGAGGAACGGGACTGGACAGCTCAGGGCTGGTTTGACTTTGCCAAGTGGCGCTGCCTTCTCCCCACTGCCCAGCTATGCCCTTCTGGCCCCCCGACCCAATGAGGGAACAGGAGTCCTCCTGGAGGGGGGCACCCGCGGGCTCCCCATGAGCTGACCCCAAGCAGACTGATCACAGGACTTGGGGCGGGGGGCGCGATTTGAAAGGCTGCTTTGATCATTTAGGGGTGGGGAGCTGTAGGTGTGCTTCTGGGGTAGGTACTTGGCCCAGAAGCCATATCTCCCCCCGACACACACACATGCTGTCTGTATCCCACCCTCCCACCCACGTGAGCGCTCTCTCTTTGCCCCCTCTCCCAGCCCATGCACAGAAGGGCCGCGCTCCCTGCAGCATGGCGATGCGCCTGGAAGGAGCCCGCTGCCATCACAGAGACACATGGGCATCAGCACCCACGACTGAGCAGAAGCAGGAAAGGGGGAGCGTGCCGAGAGCCCAGCAGGGTGGGAGCAGCTGCCTGGCGTGGGGCACGTCGGGGATAAAACTGAGAAGCCGAGCCTTTTAGAAGAGGCACCCCTTGCTCCTTGGGAGTCCCTAGCTGCAAGCTCTTCCCAGATCCCCAGAACCCCAGCAGGACACCGGGGGCGGGGTGTGACCCTGATGGGTTAAAGCTCAAGGCCCACAGGACTCGCGTGCCACGTCTTGTTCCCACGTGACCCGTGGTGCCAGGGGAGCAAACTGACGGAGGCGGCTTTTACAAAAAAAACAGGGGAGGGTCGCCACCCCACCCTGGTGATAAACCTGCCCGCACAGCCGCTCCCCGCAGTGCACAGGAGGAGATTAACCAGAGCTGGGCGTGGGCCCCCCCCCCCCCCAAAGCAGGACAAGGTCCAGCGGCGGGGGCTGGAATCCACCCTCTGACACACTCTTTATGGCTGTTACTGCAGACGCTTTCTGCTCACCCCCACCCCAGTGACACACACACCCCTGTTCATTTGCACAGCTGCGCATTTGCATTTCCCTATAGCCTGAAAGAGGCTTCTCTTCCCCGGCTAGTCTAGCATCTGCCAAGCCTGTTGCACCTGAGACAGTGGCAGGGGACGGAGACACAGCAGATAGTCACACAGGATGCCAAAAAAAGTCACCTGACTCCCTCTTTTCCAAGGAGGTCACAGCCATTGCTGGGGATTCACCCCCATTTTCCCTGCTCCTCGCCCCATCTGGATCCATAGCAGCCCTCCCAGGTGCTGTAATATGACTCAGCGGGCATGTTCAGGGCTCCCACTACAAAGCACTGCTACGTAAGGGCTACACCCCTCCAGTCCAAGGGGCTAAGCCCACTTCTTTCTTGGCTAGGACTTGGGGCCAGTTCCTCAGCGGACTACTTGGGCCTCCATGCCCAGAAACTGGGTTTACCCAGTTCTTGAACAGGGCAAACCCAGTTTCTGGGCATGGAGGCCCATCTCACACCCCCGCGAAACAAAGGCAGATGACATGTCTGATCTTTAAAAGGGGAAAGGAAACATCTGGGTCTCCCATCCTACAGAGACTCTAATGTGAGACACCCAGGGCTGGACTTTCTTCCAGAGACACTCAGCACCCACAAGCCCAACCTATGTCAACGTGAGCTGCCGGGACCCGACTCTGGGGGCCCAGAAACAGACACCCAGACAATTCAGAGGCCATTTCAGAGTTAGATCTTTGGGTCCCAGGGCTGCACGGGAGCCAAATCCCTGCACAGTGACTCAGTCCAGGGGAAAGCAGCTACAGAAGGATTGCAAAGAACCACCCACTGAACTATCTGCAAGAGTCCTGGAGAGGTAGTTGGGATTTCAGAGCATCCCTGGGGGATGCTGGGAAGAGGGGAATTCCCCCAACAGCTGGCGCTCTCCAGCGGGACTTTTAACCAGGAAGACTGAGCCCAGGGGGAAAACCCACTGTGGATTTCACGCTCAGCACAAAGATACACCACCTTGCCCCAGCTCTGTCCAATCTCCCACTAGCTGGGCTCTCATTAACTGGCAGGCTCACAAGCAGGACCAAGGGACTGGGGAAATCCAAACTGTCCATGTATCAAACCGCACCCCGCGCCCCACAGCACTTGGGTGTATGGGCACCCTCAACAAGGTCCGGCAGTTCAGGACGGGTGCCCCCCATCTGCCACACTGCCTTGTGACGTATTCCCCACTCCAATCAGCAAGGCTGCAGGGAGAGGAGGGGCCTCGGGGGTTTGAGCTGGGGGGGTGAGAGGAAGAAGTCAGCACTTGGGAGGGGGGGAAGAGGGAAACACACAACTGCTGAATCCTCCGACCATTCACCGGGGGAAGGCGCGGCCGGAGAAATTAATCTCCCTAGTCGCTGATCAGATCCCATGGATTCGGGTGACCAGGAAGGGGAGGAAAGAGAGACAGAGGGAGGCTGGGGGGAGGGGGTCACTGAGTGTATATCACCACAGAGCCCCTGTATACAACCCCGAGTCGACGGCGGGTTTGAGCCGAGCGAGCACCTTGGGGGGCCGTTGTGGTGGCATGAGAAGGGAGGCTGGCCATCCAGGCCCAGCTGGGCAGGGAGTCCCCCCTGCCCCCCAGGGGTAAAGTCGCTTCACCGACAGGATCTGTGCTGAAGGGGGCTCTCCCGAAGCCCCCGCAGCCCAGCCAGCTCACACGCTCTGCCCACCCAGCAGCCGTCACCCACGAGCCGTTAGTCACCCTTTCGCAGCTCCCCCTACACGCACCCCTGACCTTTCTGCAGCCAAGACCACCAGCGCTGTGTGTCACTCGCTGAGGGCGACCACAGAGCACCTTCTATGGGAGCCCCCACCCCCCAACCCTGTATCACGCACTGTGCGAGGAAGGGGGAAGAGACTCACGCCCCCATCCCTGCCCGTGCAGACCCCACAACAGACGTTACCATGGCCCAAGGCAGCTGCCATCGCAGCCGCCAGGAACCCACCCCGTGCCAAGGGAGCGTGGGTGCCCGGGCCACCTGCAGCTCAGACAGGCAGGGAAACCACATAGAGGGGGCAGGGAGGGGGGCCAGGGGCCAGTCTGAAGGGCTGTGCCGCCGGCCCCCAGCTCCTGCGATACCCACAGCTCCGCTGCCTGGCACTAGAAGTGAAGGGATGGGGGAGGCCTGGCCTCAGAGCCTTCCCCTGGGCATGGGGCACTTCTGCCCCCCCGGAGCAGAGCCGCCAAGTCACGTAGAGCAAGGCAGGGTGAAGCAGCCCCCAGCCAGGTGTGTGCGTGGCCAGTGACCGGCCGGGGGGGGGGGGGGGGGGGGGGCGGCGACTCAGGAAGGCGACTAGAGGACTGTGAGGGGGCAGGCGAGGACACGTGCACCCCCAGCGCAGCGCTCCGGGGGCGGGCGAGCCCCTCTGCAGCATGACTCAAGCAGCGAGTGCAAAGGCCACCAAGAGGCAGAGAGCCTCAACGCCCCCCCCCCAACACCTACAATGGGGGGAGGGGGAGGGGAGAGGAGTCAGTCACACTCCCCCCGCCCCCCCAAAACCCACAAGCTCAGAGTGGCAGGTGATGGAGCAGCTGGGAGGGGAGAGGAGCAGGGAACTCCTAAAAAAGCACGGGATGCCCAAATCATAGGGAGGTTTGGGGGGGGGGGGGGGGGGGGCCGGGCCCCCCGGGCCCCCCCCCCCCCCCGCCCCCCCCCCCCCACCAGCACCTCCCCCCCCCACTCATTACTCATTCTAGGAAGTGCCTGGCAGCGTAAATCACCAGCCATCTGCTCTGGGGAAAGGCGGGGGGAATATTAAAGGCCCAGCTCGAGGTGCCGGCTCAGTGCTGCCCCAGGGTCCCCCAGCCCACACCCCTCCCCCCCACTGCCACTTAGCATTCCACCCGCCAGGCGGGTCGGCTTTAACCCTCGCCAGGCGGGGAGGGGGGTGTACTATTTCTCCAGCCTCCTCTCCAGCTCGCCCCTTTGTCCCCGCTCTCAGAAGCAGGGGATCCTAGCTACCTCGGACCCTTCCTGCCAGCAAACTGCAGCCGATTTCTCTACCACCCTACCCCATGAGCTCCCTTAGGGCTCTGGGGGTGTACGGCCATGCATCTGCCCCCCACCCCGCTGAGTCCAGCAGTCAGGGCAGACACACACCCAGCAATCCTGGTTGTGGGGAGGAGGCCAGGCCATGCTGATGTTTAGTCACATACACCCCCTAGTGGGAAGGACACCCCAGCAGGGATCGGTCACGGGTGCACCCCACCCACCCCTAGTGCAGAGGGAGGGGTGGCTTTTCAATCGGCAGCAGCTCAACACTGGGTGAGGGACCGGGCAGGATCAGCCCCTCTGCTTCTTGGCTGAGGAGAGTCCTGGGAAGGGAGGGGAGGATTCGTGAACAAACACTTCGCTCCCTGCCTTTGCTTGGCAAAGATAAATATTTGTCTAAGCCGGGTGGCGCTGGGCTGTAAGCGCCTGAGATGCAGACAGATCCTCCTGCCCTCAGCCTGCCAAACGGGGTGCAATCCATGCACCCCCACAGAACAGAAGGGAGGCCTCTGTTCTCAGCTGTGCACCCAGCCAGCCCTGCTGTCTGCAGCTACCCCCGTGCCCAGCACCAATCTCCTCTGGCCGGGGTAGCGCCACCCCCACCCTAGCTTGTCCAGCAGCGGGGACTCCCCCTACACCCGCTTCTTCCCGGCCCCAGCGATCGCTTCGGCCTCATACCAGGATCCCACCCCCCCCCATCCAAGAGAGACGCTGAGTTCTGAGAAGCCGTGGGAAAAGCAGCTTAAAAATAACAGCGAACCCCCGAGCGCGTCAGATGGAGGCCGCAGAGGAAGAGGTGGGCGTGAAAGAGATGCTGCAACTTCGGCCATCGAGGTTACAGCTGGGGGGAGGG